TTTTATGGAAACTGTGATTGAAATGAATTAATTTTTGTAATTAATATTCAATATTTTAATTGCCTTAATTATTCAACTGTTTTTTATAAGTTAATTAAAAGACTACTTTCCGAAGCCCGTAACTTAAGTTAACTAAGAATCTAAAGAAAATATACTACACTATTTACTAATATATTAAACTATTAAATTATTTTATAATACAATATGAATACAAGTGAAAGTTATTTCCTTTTTCAAAAAACAAAAATTTATGTTTAAATTTTGCTTCCTTTTATACTTTGATTATAATTTAAACAAATTATTAATTTCATAACACACTTAATACTGTATTACCGTATTTGTTGTGCTTTATATACAGAATAATTGTCTTTCACTAAATCACTGTTATAATATTATTTTACATTAATATTCAGTGAAAAATTGGCAATAATATTGGTTGAGAGTGAGAAAAGCATAACTAATTGAACATGATTGTATATATATATATATAAGAGAGAGAGAGAGAGAGAGAGAGAGAGAGAGAGAGAGACTGTTTGGCAACAATTGGTTATTATAAAGTTTATTTTACTTTCCATGAAATATAAATGCAAATACGTTTCATATTATGATTGATATCAGTTAAAGAAAATATGATTTTCTCATCACTTTTTACCAAATTTATAAACGGCTTGAATAGAGGTTAGAGTGGAATACCGTATGAATGTATGTAATTGTGTGCTCATTAAGTCTGGTTCAAAGAAAACACGAGAAACACAGAGAGAGGGAGAGATAGGAGAGAAAGAACATATGAGGGATAGGGAGGCCAGGGAGAGAGAGAGAGAGAGAGAGAGAGATTGTTGAGCATAAAAAAGTGGTTCAGTCAGCAAAGATGGTGCGAGTGATGGCACGCCTATGCATCTAATATAAGTAGGAGTGCGCACGCATTCATCATATCTTAGCATTTGGTCCAATGAAGAAAAAAGTCTTGTGATGTGCGGCAGTGTTGGCAGTGCTGCCAGTGCTCAGGCACTCCCGTCGCTGTAATCTTAATGCCAAATCGCCTATACATACGCTCCGGTGTATTAACTTTGATAAATCTCTCGCCTCTCGCCTACTCTCTCTCTCTCTCCTTCTCTCCTCAATCTTCACTCTCTTTTCTCTCTCCATCTCTCATCTCTCCCCTCATTACTCTCTCTCTCTCTCTCTCTCTCGTCTGTGTATTTCTGTTTTTCTAATTTTTTGCTCTCATTATCATCTCTTATGCTGAAGAGACGACTGGAAGTCGACTGCCTTTTTCATTATAAAAGCAGTCGATCTGTTGGTCAAAAACCAGTCGGAAAGTGATATCACAGTACGAAAGGTACTTAACTTCTCGGGGATAGGTTTGGGCTCTGGGCTCGTCCTTAATAACGAGGGCTAGTTTTGGGTATAATATGTGCGAATAGAGCCCAACAAAAAACAATTCCTTATTCATGGGTTGAGCCAATATATAATTTATTATTTGGTGTCTCAAAAAGGCATACATATATAAATTCACAGCAAAACTAAAACAAAAAATCTGAAGCAAAAAACAAATTATCGTTTGTTTGTGTTTTACTCGTAAAAGACTTAAAATAAAATTAATGAATTAATACAATGATAGCATTTTTCTCGTGTATGAAAAATGGCAATCCATTCAAAAGCGACAACATTTTTATGAAATAAATTGCGTAAACCTGGAGCTCTCTCTCTCTCTCTCTCTCTCTCTCTCTCTCTCTCTAAAGTGAAAAATATTTTTCAAATGCAATCTCCGATCGCACCGACTGTTCCTCATTTTCAAATCACATCTCTCTCTCTCTCTCTCTCTCTCTCTCTCCTGATTGTGTGGCTCATAGAGATTCATGACACCGATAGATACCCTGCGTATGTGTGCCCGTAGTGTATATAAGCGCCCTGTAATAAAGGAGGAGTGGTGGCAAGTTTTTGGTAGCTATACCTCCGCTGTCAGTGAGTGTATCCACACAAATATCCAGTTGTGAATGCATTCAACAATTCCTTTAAAATGTATATTATTTTCCAATTTTTTGTTGTCATTATACGATGCGATGAAATATTTTGGATAATTTTTGAAAAACACTTTTTCCCTCTCTCTTTGGCCCTTAAATAAAGTCATATTTCAACAAAACAGTCAAAAACTTTTTTGTGTGAGAATAAAAACCGTGTTTTTATCGATACTTTTTCCACTCATCTCTCTCTCTCTCTCTCTCTCTCTCTCTCTCTATCATGACTGCAGACACCACGAGAAAGTATAAACTTTTCCTCTTACATGTTATGGCAGTCTATCGTTGCGAAAGGTGTGAATGGGAGACAATCAAAAACCGTGGCCATACCTCCCTATACCTCACCACCACTACATACAGTCATTATAAGCCCGAGCGTGACATTGCCTTAGCGTTCGCTTCTAGACTGCAATTTCATGGGGTTATACATTATGTGGTGTAGTATTGTATTCAAACTTTTTTTTGTATTTTTGTGTATGACTTCAATATTGGTTTGCGATTATAATAGAGGTATAGAGAGAGGTATGGATCCTAACAACGCCTTCTGACAACTTTATATGAATGTCAGAGAGAGAGAGAGAGAGAGAGAGAGAGAGAGAGAGAGAGATGTGATTTGAAAATGAGGAACAGTCGGTGCGATCGGAGATTGCATTTGAAAAATATTTTTCACTTTCTCTCTGTCGCCATACAATCGCTATAATAAATAGCTTTTGATTTGTATAAATACTGAGACATTAATTTTGGAAATATATTTTTATTGTTAAATATTTCACTCTCTCACATGTCATATAGAATACAGAATTGTTATAAACATTTTTCAATTTGAAAGGCTATGTTGTAGTTTATATATTACTGTTACTGTAAATCCTTGTGAATAGTTTTGTTTGAGAGTCGAGAGAATATAATGTAATATTATATATACTTTTTAAGCCACAAAATGCCATAAACTATGCGATGTGTGTGATCTAAATATGTGTGACTGGGCTGTCAGTGCGCTTTTAACTGACCCACACTTCAATTGACTCGCGATCCTTTCAAATGTTATTTTGCAATTCACCCAAAACTGAGATTATAGTGAACGCACACACAGTCGTAGCCCTTAGCCCTTACCGTCATTGAATCCGCTGTCAAATACTGGGAGCTCTGAGAGAGAGAATATACGCACAGAATATAGTGAAGGAATATATATAACAGAGGCATCGCTTTGACTCAGTTTTTCGTCAAACCATTGAGCAGTCAGTATGTAATACCTCTTATCAGACCAAAGCAGACGGCAAAGACTCCAACAAAGCTCACTCAGCCAAACGGCCATTCATTCAGACACAGCCAGACAACTGTGTGCCACACATCACAGTGAGAGAGAGAGAGAGAGAGAGAGAGAGAGCTGGTGGAGAGAGAAGCCTTTTAATCATGAAAAGTACAAATGTATTCTGTATTCTGTTGGCAAACATAACACACGTTGGAATCGATGCCTACAATGTCTAAGAATTAAAATGCTTTTGCCTTCAAAACGTTAAACACTGACATTAATACTCATTATTAGAAACATAGAGAGAGAGAGAGAGAGAGAGAGGAGCGTTAAAGAGAGTATAGATAACTAAACAGTTTATAATCTGTTATTATACAAAGATTTACGTACAAACATATATTAATATATAGGTTTGTCGTCAATACAATTCAAACACCATACATAAGAATTTTGGTATTTAAAATAATAACAGCCAAACGTTTTATACACAGTAGTTTAAGTTTCACAAAAGTTTCAACAATTTTTATTGAATGATGAATAGAATAAATTAAATACCAAACAAACAGTGCAAACATAAGTGTGTATTATATTACAAATTGATTTCAATTTCTATACAACTAATGCCTTTTAAAAAGCGATGAATTCATTGCAAAATTATAGTAATTCTCGCGAAAAGACAACTCAATAATGAGGTCAACAAACATTAGGAAGACTCCGATTCTCGACAATTTATTTCTTATTATTTATCACAAAATAAAAAATTATGACTTGAGGTGAGAGAGGGGATGGGAGAGAGAGAAATTGTTTGAGAGTTATGTAGTTTTCTAAAGCAATACAAATGGTTTTAGTGGGTGGTCAGGGATATTACAAATGCTTAGGCAATCGATGAGTTTAAGTGTACTCAGACTCAACTGTAGTATTATAACGTTATACCTTTTCATATCTCATTCTTATATATATATATATAATGTGATGCTATGGTTACACATGTTTCACAATCCTAGTGATTTTTTCATACAGAAACCTCTCTCTCTCTCTCTCTCTCTCTCTCTCTCTCTCTCTCAATGGATATGCGGTTAACACTAGATTATAAGTTTGGCCACTATTTGCCACAAAATACATACTCTGGGGTAACATTTCAGTGGTCTCTGTGCTCTCAGCGATATGATACGGGCGATGATATTGCGAGAGGGAGTGGGAGGCTATCGTAAAATATTGAGAGATGGCATACAGTCAATGGATGAGAGTACCAGTATTTTATTATTAGCCGGGAATCGTATCATTTTGAATGTGTCTATAACTTTTAGTTATCGCTTTTATAAACATTTTGATCGTGTTTTGTTGGTGTTGGGGTGTATAGAGGACTGGCACACAAATACAGTGTTTAAAACTTATAACTTATAACTCAATAGTGGAAAAAAGTAGTGTTGTTTTGTGGACCACAATAGAGAGAAAGCCCACAAAAAGCCTTCAAGACTGACCCCAATTATTAAGAGCCAGGTTTTCCTGTGAATTAAGTTATTTTCGTTGGCGGCGGACATACATTGTGTTTGATATGATTAGAGCCGATAGAGAGAGAGAGAGAGAGAGAGAGAGAGAGATCCTTTTGTGCGCGAATTTGTGCGACTCTTATGTGTAGTTAAAAAGTGTATAACAAATATGTAATCATTTTCTCTCCTTTTATTCGCAAATATTAGGTTTGGTTTCAAAACAGACGGAGCAAAGAGAGACGGATGAAACAGTTGAGTACATTAGGGGCTCGAAGACACTTCTTCCGAAGCCCGAGGCGTGCGATGCGACCCCTGAGGCCGGGACTGTCGCCCGACGGACTCGAGGACTCGCCGGAGATGATCGGCGGACCCAACAATGGTTTCGGATATTTTTCAGGTATTATTTACAAACAGTTTCTGTTTTTCTATACACTTATTATAATAATAGCCACTCGAGTGAGACCATCATGACCACGACACTTATTTCATTACCTATCTCATCACTTTTTAACGAGAAAACTATGGTGTTCTTCAACCGGAGTTTTACCATTTTGAAAATTCTTAGTGTTTGTAACACGTCTGTTACTCCCCGAGAAATTCATACAACAATTGAGAGCATAAATAAGAAACAGTAGCAGAGGTTTAGGTGGTTTTGGGTTTTGAATGAACTTTCGGTTTATTGGGCTTTTGGAGAGAGTTTTCGAGAGTGTATTGAATTGAGTGAAGAGAATGCATACAAATATACAAAGTATTGATGAATAGGGAAAAAGAGGCAAATCATACAATTGTTGCTCACATTCACACTTGGTAGTACTGGTGCTGTGAATAAAGTAATGGATAGAGTAGTGAAAAATTGCTCTTTTGATACCACAAGAAGTTGGCCTCAAAATGGTAAAACTTTTAAGAATCACAAACATTGTGCAGACAATGAGACCGAGAAATTCATACAACAATTGAGAGCATAAATAAGAAACAGTAGCAGAGGTTTAGGTGGTATTGGGTTTTGAATGAACTTTCGGTTTAGTGGAGAGACTATTGGAGAGACTATTGGGCTTTTGGAGAGAGTTTTCGAGAGTGTATTGAATTGAGTGAAGAGAATGCATACAAATATACAAAGTATTGATGAATAGGGAAAAAGAGGCAAATCATACAATTGTTGCTCACATTCACACAAAACAAGAGCCAAACAGAGCCTAACAGTGCTCTTAGAGAAGCGGTTTTACTGATGTTTTGCCATTGCATTCAATGGCCACCAGTGTTGCCAAATACTCTTCAGTATGTAGTGTAGTGTCGGTGCCATTCGAGAGGAATGGTGTGTTGGAGCGAAAATCCAAGTTGTGTCTGAGATTTTCCAAGTAAATCCCTTTCATAATCATACCTAATCCGACCACCACTGCCTAACAGTGCTGCTGATCCCATGCATCCCTGTGTGTGTGATTCTTTGGTGGCATAGCTCTCTCTCTCTCTCTCTCTCTCTCTCTCTCCTCGCAATTTCTCTCATATCTATTGATTTGTCAAATATTAGACAATAATATGTTTCTAAATGCATGTTTGTATATAATTATATATCCAAACAGCAGTTATGTTTCTGAGATTTTCCAAGTAAATCCCTTTCATAATCATACCTAATCCGACCACCACTGCCTAACAGTGCTGCTGATCCCATGCATCCCTGTGTGTGTGATTCTTTGGTGGCATATCTCTCTCTCTCTCTCTCTCTCTCTCTCTCTCTCTCGCTCACTCACTCACTTCAATCTCATAATCATAGAAAAGGGAATAAGAGTTTCCAAACACTAAAACCTATCATTTGCTACTTTTCCCGAACCAAACCATTTGTGCATTTGTTGGCTCACATCATGAGGACTGGCAGCTATCGTTTAATGCCTTTTCATTCAATACATTGTCACAGAAACTACTCTATTATGCAGTATATCTATGAGACCTCTCTCTTTGCATACCATATATCCAACCATCAAATGCCTAGAAATTGAGAAAATATTTTGATTTCTCACACAAAACACTGGCCATACCCTCGCACTCTCATAGCGTTTAATATGATTTGATTCGGTATTACTTCCTAATTAAGGCACAAAACTGTATCACAAGTGAACTGAATATGAGTGTTGAGTAGAAAAAACTCTTTATTTCATTAATGTTTGGATAAAATGTATTTTAGGAATGCTATGAATGCCAGTCATTGTGTTGATCGCACAGAATATGTGTTCATTTTGTGAGCGTATTATTGTATCGATCAGTTGTACGTGTATTAGGGGTTACAATGGTTTGGTGCCCAACACAACACAAATAACACTAACACTACTCCTAACTCTACACTACTTCTGGCAAAACTATTTTGATATGAGAGAATCAGCCTCCCTGTGCTCTCTCTCTCTCTCTCTCTCTCTCCAGCAAATGCCTAACTGTGTTCCCAATGTCTCCAATGATCCATTCTGTGCATCGATTTTCGATTTTAGCTCCAAGTGCTACATTCATAACAATACAATTGCATTGCTTAGCACAGGGTCATTGAGCTTACCATTTAGAGACCTACCATACCCATGATATACTAGGCTCTCTCTCTCTCTCTCTCTCTCTCACCGAAAATATTGATCACCACATGATTCACTTCTTGTAACACATATACGATTGTCGAGCAAAACGAGTACTAAATACTAAAAATGCTAAAAAAAATCATTTGTTTATTACTTATAATTACAGACTCGAGTAACCCGAGTGAGTTCCAGTACGGCATGCCTCAGCCGCCACATAACGGGCCACTGGATCAGGGTTTCTACGACTTTTTCCCCCGTCAGGGCCCACCAGTGCACGCGCCAGATGGTATGGTGCCCGCGTTCATGGGTGACCCCTCACACCTCGGCCATCCGGCAGCCCTGGCAGCTGATGCGCCCTTCATGACAGACAACCAGACAGTGCCGGGAGGACACACCGCTCAGATGATTACACAACACACGCCAGGCATGGGCTCATCCAACGACGGGGCCCTTCATTACTGATTGAACTCAAGAATATATTGCTATTAAAATACTTATGTGTAAAGACTTGTCACAAAAAACAAATTTTAAATAAAATAATGTTATTCTCTCTCCTCTTTTCTCTCTCTCTCTCTCTCTCTCTCTCTTCACTTGTGCTCTCTCTCACTCACTAAGTCTTGTTTATAACAGAGTTAATGTAAATTTAGATGAATTTATGTTAACCACAAAATAATTTGTTGTGAGATTCACTCAAAATTATTGGCGTTTTATTGCAATTTACGGTCATATTAGAGGCGATTCCGTGAAAATATTTTTCCGACAATTTGTAGGCATTTATAAGGGAAGGCATATTTGGGATAAATCAGTAATAATACGGAGAGCGGAACACAATCTAAATCCTAATTCAAACCGAGTATTATAGTAATAACATAATGCAGTAAATTATTGCTTTTTATCAAACTAGTATATGACGTAAAATACTTTAAAACGTTAATAAAACACTGAATACACCACGAAAAATGCCATTCACTATACTACATGTGTTGAACCAGTTATTCACTGTTTTTTAATCTGAAAGACTCATTTGATTTCGGAAAGACTCTGTTGTAAACTCATAGACCAATTCATGAGATGAGTTACTCTTTATAAAGAATATGTAAGTTATTGTAAATATAAGTTATTTGTAAATATTTTATTTAAAAAAAAGTATAAAAACCAAATTAATAAAAGTTGTTTAATTGATCACTCGTTCAGATATGACAAAATGCTTGAATAAAACATTTTTCTTGATTATTGAATTTTATGGTGAATTTTCTTATCAAACATAAAAGTTTCTCTCATTTCCAATGAAAGCAACTTTGTTTGGAAAACAATTGAAGTAAATATAAAAAGTTTTCTAATATAACCACAAATTGAATCGTTTATTATTGTCGAAAAAAAGTCTGACAGCCAGTCGTAAAGCGATGTCTTATGTTTGGCCACCGATTCAATCAAAATATACGGTTTGGCAATCATTTTATTCAATACTCCGGCGAACCTTATGTGTTAACAACGAATCAAATGCTGAATTCAATATTAATATAATTACTATTATGGACTCAAATGATAGACTCATATATAAAGAGCATATTCTTATGGCGCAGACAGTCTATCAGATATTACTGGCAAAAGTGGGCTAAAGTTTATGACATGTATTTCCATTGACGGCAACTATTTCTCGTATATGAGTTGTGAGAGATGTAGAAAAAAGAGTAAAAATCTTTTATTGAAATATAAAAAAAATTGAACGAAAAATATCTACAATTTTTTCTCGACTCCACTCTTCCACCAGCTATTCGTCGCTCTATTTTATGTCTCAATTTAGAGAAGTTTGAGAAAAATGTGATATAAAAACACTCATTAAACGAAACGATCGTTTCGGTGGCAAACTTTGCACTGAAATCAAGCGAAAGAAATCTAATATTAGAGCCAAAACTGAATCACAACTACAGAGAGAGAGAGAGAGAGAGAGAGAGAGAGAGAGAGGGAGGGAGAGCTAACATAAATTCATCTAAATTTACATTAACTCTGTTATAAACAAGACTTAGTGAGTGAGAGAGAGCACAAGTGAAGAGAGAGAGAGAGAGAGAGAGAGAGAGCGAGCGAGAGAAAGGAGTAGTGATTCTGAGCCCTAATATCATCTCCGAAGAGAAAGACTATAATAGTCTCCGAGACTATTGTATTGTGTGTTTTGCCATACATTACAGCCACTGACTGGTATACATTGTGAAGCGAAAAACTTTTTGCTACTGAAACAAAAGTCAATCAATGGTAACGACAAGTGCTCTGTTTTGCCACCAAAATAGCAGAACTTAGATATATATTTCGCTCATAAATTTTAAACTTCATTAATGAAATAAATCCCTCGCCTTTTCATTTGGGCGCTAAGACTCCCGGTTTTTATCATTCATTTTATAAGCAATTTATTACAACAGCAGAGAAAAGTTATTAACAGTTAGAGAAAGTACTTCATAAGAATTAAAGACCTTTTTTGTTCAGTAAATGTGAGCATCAAATCAAATGCCAGTCGACAAGCAATTAATATTTTGATGGAAAATAGTTCAAACACTAGTCGAGAATATTGAAAAGTAAGTAATCATTTTGATGTTTGAAACAAAGTGTTTCAGAAGTTTTTAGACATTTATAACAAAATATTTACAGATTTTATACACAGATTTTGAGGTTTGGTTTAGAAAACTATATTTTTAAATAGGTTTTGATAGAGAAATTAGTTCTCAAATATAGATATTACGGGAATCCATCACATTTGTGGCGATATTCACACATAAAAATAGATCTCATATTAAATATCACTAATATTTTGCTTTTCAGCAGTAAATAAATTGACACCAAATCTCTCATCAATCTATAGACACATATATTCTGCAAATTCTTTAAATAGCAAAAATTGATTTATAAAATGAAATGTATTTTATTTATTTAAATATAAATTTCATATCTCTATGTCGAGAGAGAGAGAGAGAGAGAGAGAGAGAGAGAGATCCCTGAGAGTATGTGTACGAGTGAATTAGCGATGAAAAAGTGAAATCTGTAAATAGTATTTGAAAATATCGTTTGCAAGATTAAAACTCGCAGTGAATTCAGTGAATCGTAATTTTGAAGTCTTATATTTTTAGTCAATGACTCCGTGAATGAAAAGTATGGGAAACCGATAATAAAGTAATACCTGAAATGATAATAGTATGCGACACGAGAGTGCCTTAAGTGGATACGCGATACACACAGACTTATCTGATTGTGAGACCCATTTGGAGAGAGAGAGAGAGAGAGAGAGAGAACACCAGAAGAGTACCACTGCTGTTAATACAGTGTTTTGGATCGGGGTATTAGCAGCAGAGGTACGTCAGATGAGGCATTAGATAACGAGTCGGACGGACAGATCAGTTGACGTGACAGTGCTCTCAGCGGTAGTGAGCCGTATATTGAGAGCCACTAATCAAAACACTCGTCAAAAGTATCATCTCTTCTATACTATGTTCTCACATATCACTGACATTGCAATCCAATGGCTCTGACAGCTCATAACAGCCATAATTCCGCTCTCCCGACAAATGTCTGTCCCAATGGAGACCACAANGCCTCATCTGACGTACCTCTGCTGCTAATACCCCGATCCAAAACACTGTATTAACAGCAGTGGTACTCTTCTGGTGTTCTCTCTCTCTCTCTCTCTCTCTCTCAGCCCTCAACACGTTTTACCAAATAATTTAATGCATTTTAATAACTCTCTAATATTTATTAAAATAAAGTTTTTTGGTTTGAAAATTAAATATTGAAAAATAATTTTATTAAATTAATTTAACCTGTAATGCATATCATATTAATTAATGTAAATACTACTAAAATATTTATCAGCGTGTGAATAATTTAATTAAATGTTTTAATTAGATAATATTTCTAATATAATGTTTTAAATAAAAATATTCTTGTATATAATTTTCAAAGTTTTTAATATCCGTATTAATATTGCACACATTTATTACCCTCAAATGTTGCCCTTAATTAAATATTTACCTATTTTAAGGGTATATTAATCTATAATGTGATATATACGAAGCGGGAGGGTAGGTATAAAGATATAATAATAAATTAAAAATTTATAACAAATTCAAACAATTTGATATATAATATTATCAAAATATAAGTTTATTAATTTTAATTTAGTTAATATTCAAAATAATTTATATAGCTCTTATACAGTACAAGTGGTTTCAAATCAATTTTAATAATATATTTAACAACTGCTAACATATAATCAAATGTTAATTATAATACAGTTATATTCAAACTGATGATACGTTAGGTCTAAATAGGAATTAAATTATGTTTTAAACAGAATATATAGAAAGAGATGTCTTTCTATGTATATTCACTCGTGTTATGCCAAACCGTATATCATTACTACAGAATGAGTGCACAGAATATGAATTACAAACAATAGGAGACCAATTCCTGAGTACCAGACTCTCAATCAACTACTTGTGCAGCGAAGACATGCCATTAATTTCATAATTTTATTAAACAAAAAATAATAATAAATATCATTAAAGTATTTGCGGAATACATGCTATGAATGACAGTATAAGTATTGGCTATAAATATCCGAAAAGTCTGTCTCTCAAACAAAAACATTAGTTTGTTTTGATTTCACATCGTTTACAGTGAAAAAATTGAATTAAAAAAGGTTACAAACATTTGCATTAAAATTGGAAAAAATATGTTGTTTTCGGGCCAAACATCTAAGTTTTCTGGAGTTTTAAGCAAAAAGAATATAAATGTTTTAATTTAGTGGAGAGAGAGAGAGAGAAAGAGAGAGAGAGAGAGAGAAAGAGAGAGCCAAAAGAGACTGGCTGTGAATGAAATGGGTTTTCGCCACAATATTTTGCGCTCAATTATGATGACTATAGCTGTGAGGATGACTGTCAGTGACTGCGGAGACCGTGGAAGACATGAGAGCCCAACATATCATACCGGAGACAGACGTATATATAATACACGCAAACACTTAAACAGTTTTATGATTTTGTCGATTAGAAACAGTTTATGACCTGTCGATGGGGTGTACTTTGTTTTAAATGAGACGCCAGGCTATCATCGCCTGCGAAAAACTTTTAGGGCTGAGCCAACACAATGTCATTCATATCCACGGCTATAAAATATTAACAAAACATTTTCATGAAATTCTTATTATTTTGGCCCAAAAAACACATTAATCGTCGGAATATGGAATCGATGTCTTCGCCTGTAAATCATTAACAATGTCTGACTTCTTGAGTCGCTTAGGAGGTGGACCTAAAGGCAGTGATAAAAAAGGCAAAACAAAAGCAAAATATATTAGTAATAAAAAACAATATGCTTTGTGTGTATAAATTTGTTATTTAAAACTTTTCAAAACGTATTGTGAGTAGGGAAAACTAAAATACCCGTATAATTCAATAATAATATTATGAGTGCTTTTTATCTAACATTTCTCATCGCCGGAGACGTGACTCTCAAAAATTATTTACAAATTTTGAGTTTACTTTAAGTAAATTTGAAAATTTCAACAAATTTTGCTTATAATACACTTCGCATATTTGGTTTTATGTATATTTTTGTTTTATACTTTATTTGTTTTGAATATAGAGTGCTCTATAGTTTAGATATTATAATAAGTTTTCGTAAAGTACGGAAAATCGAATTCAATATTTGTTTAAAAAATAAATTGATTTTAATCGTCAGTTTTGGAAAACATGGGATCAGATCTGCAAAAGTCAACTATCGATACAACAAATCAATAGCAGTATTGACAGCATTTTCGTTACAAAAACTAAAACAAATGGAAAACAGATTTGGACTCAGATTTTTGATATTTTTAATATTTAAGACAAACATATCAAACGCGTTGATAATTTATACAAAAAACTTTTTTGGCACCAAGACTTGCAATCAATGCAACCATTGGTTAAGCAAAAATGCTATTTTGTTATTAAAATGTGATATTTTATAATAAATGCTTGAAAACAAATAGAGAAACAACAAAAAACATGCAAAAAATGAAATTTCAACACAACTTCGAGAGAGAAAAACAGCAAAAGACAATGAATTTTAATTTTTTATAAAGAAAAATATGAAAATGCAAAATAAAGAATTGCTTTTTTGCCAAAAGTATGGTTTTGTTATGAATTAAAAGCTCTTTGAAAAGCAAAATACATAAAGTTTTTAGAATACTTTATACTCAATAAGAACACCCGTATGCTATACTATAAGTATTTTCTCCAGTGTTTCACACTCTGTTTTCTACAACAAAAAAGTAATATTGAATTGAATTGCATTTCATTAGCTATTCATACGGAATACCAATTCTATCAGTAATTTCTTTTCTGTAGCTATTATTCTGTCGGTTGTAATACATGTGGTGTTTGTGTCTATGTTTTTGTGTCTAATATTCGTATTATTGGTGATAGGAATTGAGTGTTTGATAGGGAAATGCCTTTCGGCGGATCACCTTTTGTTGAGAGCAATATGTTTCTGACAAAAATACCATTCATTTACACAAAACATGTAATGCGTGCCATAAGAGCACAGCCATCATGCCACAGATGCAATGGGCACTGGTATCACCAGCGTATATATGCATTAATACAGTATTTCAGTATTAGGTGTAAATTACAGACAATCATTAATCATTTGCGAGAGAGAGAGAGAGAGAGAGAGAGAGAGTCGGCACTAAACACCACACCATGACTTGTAAAACATAAGTCATATGAGAAATACAGACAACAACTCGTACACGAAATGCTAAAATCAAGTGAATATCAAAAACTTATTTCTCGGGAGAGAGAGATGAGTCGGCACTAAACACCACACCATGACTTGTAAAACATAAGTCATATGAGAAATACAGACAACAACTCGTACACGAAATGCTAAAATCAAGTGAATATCAAAAACTTATTTCTCGGCTCTCTCTCTAGAGTAGGTATAAATCCTGCCGCAGGCAGGCAAAAGTCGGTTTTTGCGTTAGTAGAGACTCAAAAAACGTTGGTTAAATACGTTTGTAAAAGCTTTTATATGAGTCTTTTGTTCATATTTTATTATTTATTCTCTCGTAATATGCGGAGAGACTGTGGCATGAGATGAAAGACTGGCACCACTTCTCTCTCTTCAATCAAATATCTCTTTCAATGCTTTAACCATAAGATGAGAGATATTTTATACGAAAAAAATTATTATTACTGTTTGTCTCCTCTCATCGACCATTCACTCTGGCATTCATACAATGATTTTTTCTCATAACATTTGCCTATATTTTAATTGTAAATACAATAAATATAAGTTATAAAAAATACATTTCTAAAACTCCACTCAATTCATTCACTCGCTTCCCAAAACATTGGACTCAAAACAAGTGCTCATATAAGGCTATAATGAGTACAATCAACTTTGGCTTAAGAGATACCGAAACACACAATCACTACTATATTACTGGTATTATATAATCGCAACAATAGACCACCAAATGGTAAACATTGAGAATCGGGAATACAATTCATACGAACAATCGTTTCATTGAAGAAATATATTATCTTTTTCTCCTAATTCAGTGCCTATTCTCTAGCATACAATCGATACTCTGAATGTATTTCTGGTCAAAATAACTTATACTTTACGGTATGTTTGCCGTGATGTTTTTCAGAGGCGTTTATCGCTACTTCAGTACTAAATTTAGTGATTTCATATCGGATTTTCTGTAGGATTCCAGTCTCCACATCACAGTCTCCATTCCCTATCATTTTTAAGCGTTAAAAAACGCACAGGTATCACTGCAATATGCATGTATGGCCACTGTAGTCTGTCATTTACGTATAGGTACACACACACAGGTATGTAATTTTTTGTTACTGTTTTATTGAATATGAAATGCCATACAAACGGCACTACAAAAAGTCTCCGCAAATAGCGATGAAGTCATGATTTAAATCACTAAAGTATAGCCTAAAAGACATCCTAAGGTCAGAGGTGTAGTGTCAGCGCAACTTCTGCCACTCCATTCCCTATCATTTTTAAGCGTTAAAAAACGCACAGGTATCACTGCAATATGCATGTATGGCCACTGTAGTCTGTCATTTACGTATAGGTACACACACACAGGTATGTAATTTTTTGTTACCGGTGCCGGTTCTCACTGTCGCATCCAATGATTAAAATGGATGAATGCATTCAACAATTTTCGCGTTTGATTCACAATTACTATACTCTACGCCAAACAGCACCACCACATCCATAGCGCCGTACGTTTTATGACACACAAAGACTTTTTTGAAAATAGAGAGATCAACTCATCGTATATTATATGATATATATTTTTACCTAAATTTAAACAAAAAAATAATTCCTATTCAACGCTTGGTCTACACATTTCAATCTCTATCGCAAAAAACTTTTTACAACTCAATTCAACAAAATCTTTTCTCTCTCTCTCTCTCCGTATGTCTCTCTCCTTCTCTCTCTCTCTCTCTCTCTCTCTCTCTCTCTGTGCGCTTCAAAGACTTTTTTCTCAAAGTCGGCACTGAATCAAGTAATTCAACCAAAAATTAAACCAAAAATTTGCTGCAAAAAACTACTACATAGTATACTATCTCCACCAGAAAAATACATATCCGTAATACTCAGCCGTATATACCTTTTTCTGTGCGGTTTATTCATAAAAACACATTCAGTTTTGCATTTCGTATGTAATCCTAAACTTCATTAATAATAATTAAAAGAAAAGAGAGACGAAAAACGACTAACATTTTCAACAGAGAGTATAATTCGCGTTTAAATGAAACAACAAATTCTGTGATAAATTAATTTCGTTTTTTTTGAATTCATGTATTAAAATTAAATTACAAACTAAAAACTATTAAAATTTTAATCATTTTCTGAAATAAAATACAAAAATCATTTGCTGAATATAATGGACGCACAATGAGCACTGTAAATGCTAAATGTTATCATATAATATCAAACTTCTTAATACGAGAGTCGAGAATATCATTAATTTTAAGACATTAGAGAAAATGTTTTTTGAAAGAAATTCATTTTTGAGTTCACTTCCAGTGTTATTCTCATTTAGAAATAATATGTTTTATAATATATTTCTCGCAAATATTCTGCCATTAAGTAAGAAAAACATACGAAGAGTTAGTTGGCTATGAAGAGCAGATGTCTGTGTTTTCTCTCTCTCTCTCTCTCTCTCTCTCTCTCTCTCTGTGCGCTTCAAAGACTTTTTTCTCAAAGTCGGCACTGAATCAAGTAATTCAACCAAAAATTAAACCAAAAATTTGCTGCAAAAAACTATTACATAGTATACTATCCCCACCAGAAAAATACATATGCGTAATACTCAGCCGTATATACCTTTTTCTGTGCGGTTTATTCATAAAAACGCATTCAGTTTTGCATTTCGTATGTAATCCTAAACTTCATTAATAATAATTAAAAGAAAAGAGAGACGAAAAACGACTAACATTTTCAACAGAGAGTATAATTCGCGTTCAAATGAAACAACAAATTCTGTGATAAATTAATTTCGTTTTTTTGAATTCATGTATTAAAATTAAATTAAAAACTAAAAACTATTAAAATTTTAATCATTTTCTGAAATAAAATACAAAAATCATTTGCTGAATATAATGGACGCACAATGAACACAGTAAATGCTAAATGTTATCATATAATATCAAACTTCTTAATACGAGAGTCGAGAATATCATTAATTTTAAGACATTAGAGAAAATGTTTTTTGAAAGAAATTCATTTTTGAGTTCACTTCCAGTGTTATTCTCATTTAGAAATAATATGTTTTATAATATATTTCTCGCAAATATTCTGCCATTAAGTAAGAAAAACATACGAAGAGTTAGTTGGCTATGAAGAGCAGATGTCTGTGCGAGAAATGTATGGCAAAAGTACATCGGGAATGGTATGGAAAAAGGCATGGATGGCCTCTTTCGAAGAATAGGGCATTAAGTGCGAGTTGAGAGCAATTTGAAACAATAATTCAAAGCAAATTCGTGGCATTTGGAGTACAAAAATAGGTGATCTAACAGTGCAAATGAGGAGAAGCTCTCTGTGTATACCGAAAAAACTAAGCCTCAAAACTAAATTACAGCACATTTTGTGACTACAAAACCAGTTGTTTCGCTACTTCTGGAGTCACAGACTCCTGAGTCTATGACAGCAAAAAATTGTTATGAAAAGAGTTGTCACAAGAAATCGTCGACCAGTTTAATGATTAGAATATCTTAATAAGTGTCGGTTCGGGTGGAAAGGAGTGTAAAACAATTTCTTGTGATGGCTTTCCCTAAGACATGTATAGCGATAGAGTGGAGTCGAGTGTATATGTTGTGTAATGTGTGAGCACTGGTGAGCATCACATTCAAGGGATGAATGCTTTTTCCCACGAGTTATCTATTTCTCTATTCAACGGTCACTGAACATACACTGACATCACACCACTTCTACCTACCAGTGCCACTGCTATTAAAGTCGTGAAATATCTATACTCTTCAGTAGCCGAACCAAATACACACGCAATGAAAAAGTAGCTAAACTTCTGATGAGAGATATTCCGCAAAATATAGGAATTAGATCCCATTTCTTATACAAGAGATTCTCTGAACGTAAAGAATATTTTATTTCCCAAAATATATTATTAGTGTAACTGAAAAATGTCTCGAGTTTTCCACTCTTTTTTCTATTTTTGCTCTCAATTTCCAGCACTAAATGAGAGACACAATAGTTTTAGAGCAGAAAAGTTTTAGTGCAGAAAATGAATGAGAAGTGTCTCATATCTTATTTCACATAATATCTTAATCTATGTTAGAGCTCACAGTAGCACAGCCTCTCTCTCTCTCTCTGCAATGTCTCTCTCTCTCTCTCTCTCTCTGCAATCTCTCTCTCTGCAATCTCTGTCTCTCTCTCTCTCTCTGCGATGTCTCTCTCAGTGAATGGCATAAGTCAGGCACAGGTTGGATGAGTTTTGACTTTGACACCAGTAGTTCAGTGCTATAGTCAGCAGAACAGAAAAGGAATTAAAAGGCGCTGCACCAGAAAATGCCAAATGTGTCCCTTGACAACCAACATTGCCATAGACATCCCTTTCCAACACACACACCACCGCTGCATATACTGTACACACTCTGATGGCACTGGTTAGCCATCGTTTGGCAATACGGGTGCAATAGTTAGTGCGCAAAGTTAGTGATGCATAGATAGAGCAGACATTCAGTCAGGAATAGAGTAGAGAATACAACAGAGAATGCAATGACTGAATGAATGAGTGAACGAGTGATACGAATAAAATAAAATACAAAAACTTTTTTCGGCAAAAAAGCGAAAGAATTTCGATTTGAGGGCTGAGAGGATCGCTTCACATGAATCACTCACTCCCGAGCGCTATACCACTGACTCTCACTTTGATATATACAGTCAAACAAAAAACACACATTTCAATGAAAATAATAAAAATTAGAGAATAGTTTAAACAGTAGAGGAGAGGAGAGAAAAGAATAGTGACTTAAAAGTCTCTCTCTCTCTCTCTCTCTCTCTCTCTCTAAATGTTTGTGAACCAAATTCTACATAACATTACTGTGGAAATCAAATATTTATAAAACAAACTTTGCTGTTTCCAAATTTAGTATAAATACTTCCCCGAGAAAATCTGATTTCAATTTGATATTTGATTTTGCAATTCGTGTCAATATTTTGTTACTTTAAATCGAGAGAAAAAACACAAAAAAGTAAAATAAAATACAAAAAATAAAAGCTTTGCCTCGCATTCACAACACACACGACATAACAAAACACATCAGAAATTCAACACTAACTCCACAACTAAACTCTAAAACCATTCGGAAGTTTCTCTCCGACTCTTTAAAAATTTTAGCCAAAACTTATATAACAGTCGACAGTATGTGTGTATAAGAGTATATATGTATTGAAAACATTTTCAAAGTAATCCCATTTCCCGTCGGATTTAGAGAGTCATCAGTTTATTCACAAGAATTAAAAGCGATGACGAGTGGAGATATCGTATTGAATGCCACTCTCATTCTGTGCACCATATATACGCTACACTACAGCAATAATACGGGAATATATTTTTGAAACATTTTTTTCAAGAATTATTGTTATCTGTAAAAATTTAGACAAAACTCGAGGAATTTGATATTTCCACAAAAGGAGTGCTCAATATTAGCGACTTATCTCTCAAATACATTTCAAATGAACATAAATTCTGTAGAAAATAAAATCCTATAATATTCTGAGTGTATATTTTAAACATTAATCGATGAAACGAATTGATTTCATTGTAATTATTTATTAATTAAAACACAAAACATCTAATAAATACGAGAGAAACTAAATAATTAAAGCACTAAAATAGACACAAAATTCACGGAATATTCTGCAAAAACGAATTCAACAAAAAAATAAAATATCAAATAATTTATATTATTATTATTATTATACGTGTGCGAAGGAGGAGTTGAATAACATTTTGTATACAAAATGCTAATAAATTATTAAACTTTTTTCAGAATAATAATAAATAATAATAAGAAAGCAATTGTCAGCATATGAATGAGAATTGACATCAAAAATAGCGAAAATAAATTAATATAACTATCAGATGACAGTAACACTCATTAAATATTTAACGATTCACGAACTTATAGAATAAAATAAAATTATAAAATCAATTCAATGACAAAGTATTCATAAATAGGAGACTAAAGGTCTGGCGAAACACTTGAAAACTGGAAACCCTTTTAAAATTCAAAAACCAATTACATATCTTACGTAAAATTAAATTATGTAATAATTAAATTAACACAACACGAGAATATTCTTGTCAGTCAGACCTCAACCTGAATTTCAGTGCAAATACAATGGATTTAGAAAACAAGAGTATTATGTCTAAAGTGTTTGTCAATGGGAGAGACCCAGTATATGGAGAAAATCTATGCTATGAAGTGATGCTTACGAATAGAGTATTGTTTGGATTGCAATCATTGCAAATAATGTGAAACTAAGAGATTGTGATACATGTCATACAGATATACGGACTGATGCTATAAGTGATGCAGAATGGGATCGAATCGGAATCCCTCGAGTAATGTGCAAAATGTGAGTCAAAGCTCACACCAACCAATAGAGTCCAAAGGGGAACACATATACGGGAGAGAGATATACACAGAGAAAGCTTTACAAAAATGCAAATTCATTCAGTCATTCAGGCATTGAAACTCCAGTGTGTGTTAGGATCTGAACAGTAGGTCTGGTAGTGTTAGGCCTATTCACCGCTGAAGTGAGCTCTACTGCAAACTCTTGACATGCAATGCAATCAATGATGCAGCAGATCTGATGCCAACCCCCTCAGCATCCAACCCCTCGCCAGAAACACATACACACTTCCAACCTGTCTGTGCTCTCTCTCTCTCTCTCTCTCTCTCTCTCTCTCTGATATAATATAGTTTAAAAAACGTATACTCCGGTACTGACAGCGAGTGTATGAGTGGAAGTGCAGTACAAGTGAAAGGCTGAGGCACTGGTTGTGCTGGAGATGATGGAGTCTGTGGTAATCTGCATATAAATAGCTGTCCTTTTTTCGATTGTGTGGTACATGTCATGTAAACATAGATAGACTGGTTGTAGCGCTCCGGGAGAGGTCTCGGAGTGCATACAAGGACTACAGTGAATGAATGGGGAATCAATGGGAATCACTCCCAAATCTCAATTAAACTGCACCGCACTAGCAGTCAGGGGTCGGCAACCAAACGCGCCCAACAGCCCAGTCCTACCGCTGCTACCAATTGAATATATTTCCAGGCAATACATTACACGGACTTCTCTCTCGTCCGTCGAGAGAGCGAGCGAGAGAGAGAGAGAGAGAGAGAGAGAGAGAAGCTATTATTTTATGTAAAATGTATTCAATATTTTAAGCGCAAAACTTTGTGTTTCGTTTTCCTAAACTCACAGCCATTTACTACCAATAAATGGACTTTTGTTTCAAAACCCAATACACAATTCGGCAGCTCTTGAGCGCCGCAGCCGTGCATCTGTTGATGACAGCTCTTCCAGTTTTGGGTGCAGTCGACTGAAAAGCGACTGTTTTTGGCATTTCATACGCACTGAGAGAGCCATTGGAGGCATAGGTCAGAGCACGCACTTATTCTCTCTCTCCCGGTGCTATCAGTTTTAATGTTATGCTTCTCTCTCTCTCTCTCTCTCTCCAACTGTTTGGCCGCAACACAACCTCTCAGCCCTCACTCGCTCTCACTCACAACTCATGTATTATTTGATTCATTAACTTTCAGTGCAAACTATTTTTGTTTTCCAGAGCACAATATTATCTCCAAAAACTCATAGACCCCTCCGCATAGTCTCCCTAAACACGTCATACCTTTTTGAAAGTAACGCTCCGTTTTGGTGGCCACACGTCGGGCTTCTGTGTCAGACGTGTCATCGCCGGCATCTCGAGCCCACTCCAGAGCTAATGGCCTGCCATACAAGTGAGTGGAATGGCATAAGGCATCAAACGCTCGCTGCAAACGAGTGGTTGTGATGAAAAAAGTAGAGAAAAAACAAAAATTATATCTCAAAATACTGTACTTTTCATACATAATATATCGACACAAGAATAGAGGGAACCGTAGAAAATCAAGACTAAAAACTATGGACTCAAGTCTGTTTGAAATAGAGAAACCGATTCTAATGCTTCATTGGAGGCATAGGTCAGAGCACGCACTTATTCTCTCTCTCCCGGTGCTATCAGTTTTAATGTTATGCTTCTCTCTCTCTCTCTCTCTCTCTCTCTCTCTCTCTCCAACTGTTTGGCCGCAACACAACCTCTCAGTCCTCACTCACAACTCATGTATTATTTGATTCATTAACTTTCAGTGCAAACTATTTTTGTTTTCCAGAGCACAATATTATCTCCAAAAACTCATAGACCCCTCCGCTTAGTCTCCCTAAACACGTCATACCTTTTTGAAAGTAACGCTCCGTTTTGGTGGCCACACGTCGGGCTTCTGTGTCAGACGTGTCATCGCCGGCATCTCGGGCCCACTCCAGAGCTAATGGCCTGCCATACAAGTGAGTGGAATGGCATAAGGCATCAAACGCTCGCTGCAAACGAGTGGTTGTGATGAAAAAAGTAGAGAAAAAAACAAAATATATCTCAAAATACTGTACTTTTCATACATAATATATCGACACAAGAATAGAGGGAACCGTAGAAAATCAAGACTAAAAACTATGGACTCAAGTCTGTTTGAAATAGAGAAACCGATTCTAATGCTTTATATCTCAAAATACTGTACTTTTCATACATAATATATCGACACAAGAATAGAGGGAACCGTAGAAAATCAAGACTAAAAACTATGGACTCAAGTCTGTTTGAAATAGAGAAACCGATTCTAATGCTACAAAACGGACTTAAAATTAAGCCCTTAATAAAAATTTTACAGGTTTTTAGTGAATGAATAGTTGGGACAAACATTGGCCACGGATTGTGAACATACTTTTGCATCAGTTTTGGTTACGAAGTCCACGAAACCAAATCCTCGATAAGATCCGATTTGTGACAATTTCTTTGGAAGTCTGACGGCTTTGAGTTCACCGAAAACACTGGAAAACATAGTTTTAAAAATAAATATTAATTAATAAATAAATACATGTCTTAATCTGCTGTTGAACATGAAAATGAGTAGAAAAAATGAATTAAACTGTGAAACAAATGCCGTAAACAACAACAAAAAAGGTAATAATCATTTAAGAGTAACGAAACAAATAAAACACATAATTGACAGCAAAAAACGTATTGAAAAGCTTTTAACATTAGGTCTCATTAATGCGATCATCCGTTCAATAATCACGAATTGCAGCACAAAAACTATATTAAAGTATACATTATATAAGAGATAAGCGCACAGAAAAGCGAGAAAATAAGTTTTTTCTAACAAATAATTTAATGGTTAGACAGTTCTCAATAGACATTTCATGCAAATTCGTGTAATGGTTACTCGATTTCTTATGGCGAGAGAGAGAGAGAGATGACATTCACCTGAAAAGCTTTTTGATATCGTCTACCGTAGCCTCGAATGGGATATTCTTAACGCATATCTTAGTTCCCGTTTGTTTCGTAGATTGTCTTTCATCTGAATTCCTTCCGGAATATGTTTTTTGTTTTCTATATTATGATATAAAAGAGTGAAAAAAAATTAAAAACAATTCAATTCATTAGAAAACAAATATCTATACGTTTGTGAAGTCCTATTGGATATTTTGAGTTCAAGTGTGTGTCCATCGAGTACTGAGTTTTGCAACTCTTTTAGGGCTTTTTGAGCAGATTTTTGATAAACAAATTGAATGAATCCATAACCCATTGACAGGACTTTATCTGCAGACTTCTTGTAGGCTATGTTAGCGCTATATATTTGTCCGCATTTCTGGAAATGATTCCTAAAATCTTCCTCAACGGTATCAAAGTGCAGATTCTTCACGAATAACGTCGTGTCCTCTTCCCCGAGATATAGGTTTAAGCGAAGTAATAATAGAAGTCATATAAGGAGAGATAAGAAGGATAAGAAGCCAAATGAAAGGTATAGAGAGAAGAGATTTCGAAAGTTAAGGAGCTAGAGAAGCAGCAATTTCTTAACACTCGGATCCCTAAACACATTACTGGGCGCCCACTCCAGGTATAGCGGGAAGTGCTTGAAGTTATTATAAGCCAACTTATTGAACGCCGACTTCGCTTCGTTAATCTCTTGCATCTCGACGATAGCCGTCACTCCATTCGGCGGTAAAATCACTCTTAAAACGAGTCCATACTTTTCAAACAGCGCTCGGATCTCTTCGGACTTTGTATTCGCCGGTAAATTCTTGACTAAAATAACAGTTTTACTCCTCTCACCGCCCGTTTCGCCAAATGCCTTCAAATGGACCCCATTTTCCAACAAAAACCCTCGCATTTCGTTCACAATCTGTGTCTCTCCTAATGCCAACCGCACGGCGACGCTGTCCTTAGAGTTGCTGTCGGCCAACAGATCAGACTTTTTGATATTAAACTTCTTGGCCATAATGTCGGCCACGGCGTTGGCGCCAATGAACAGACTGTTCCACTGGTGAGAGCTCTGAGCCTCACTTTTCTTCTCCATTTGCTTCGACTTCTTGTACGAAGACTTCTCGTTTTCGGCCACAAATGGCGGCACAAAATCTTCGGGCTTGGGTTTGGCGGCAATCAGATGCAGGAGTCGTCCCCTGAAATCGGTTTTATCCAACTCTGCCACCGCTTTGACCGCGTGCTCCGGGAATACGTACGACACGAACGCAAAGCCCTTTTGTTTCTTCGTGTAGGAGTCGATCGGTAAATGAAATTCTGAGAGCTGGCCGTACCTCTCAAACAGCTCCCGAAGCTCTGCCTCATCACATGTATATGACAGGTTCCGGACGTATATTCTTCCGGATTCGCCGATAGTTTCGGGCGCCGGCTCTGCGGACTTCCATTTGGGTTCCTTAGCCTCTGCTTTATTAGCACCGGTAGTATTGGCCGACTGTTTCGGTTTATTGGCCTCAATTCTGGTTATCTCAATGCGATGGCCGTCCATAAAGCCTCGGTGTTTGACCATCACTTGTGTCAACTCCTTCTGCGTCCGGAACGACAGGTAAGCGATTCCCTTGACCTTCGGCGGTAACCTAAGACTCAACGCTTTTAAGGGTTCAATAAAGTCTTTGATCTGACGCTTCTTCACTTTATACGGAAGTCCTTTCAATTTGACCACAAATTCGTGCACTTCTTTGGGCGCAGTCTTCTTGTGTCCACTTTTCTCGAACTTTTTCTTCTTATTCTTCGTCGGTTTCTCAGTGTCTTCAGCCGCCTCTCCTTCGGACTCTTCTTTAACCTCTACTTCATCGTCATTATCGACACTTTGGACCGGATTTTCTGCGATAACCATATCATTACTCCAGATGTGTTTGCCTTTTCCTGAATCGATATTCCTCTGGAGTCGCATAAACTCCTCAAATTCCGGGTCATTCTGGAGTTCATCCAACTCTTCGGTCAACACCTTCTTCTTCTTCGCCCTCTTCTCTCGTTTCTCGACCTCTCTGTCGGTCTTCTGGTCCTCAATCGACGGCTCATTTTTGCTGAATTTCTTAAAACCCTTATCTAAACCATCGCTCAATTGGACATTGATTTTGTTGGTGAAGATATATGTCTTATGGAAGTAATCGATGGCCTCTTGAGCTGAACTGATCTCTTTATAGCCGATAATGGCGTGCCGTTTGCCGGGATTTACATTAATGTCAGTTATCTCTCCTTTGGTCTCAAATCGCTTCCGGATTTCGTTGACATTGATCTGTCAATTGACCACAAATTTGATTCAATTATCATTAATCTCATGCAAAACACGTGACTTATGGTGTCAAATGTCTTAAGGCTTTTTTACTCACATTTTTGGGTAAATTTTGGATAAAAATTCGCGACATTTTCCGCACACTTAGTGTTAAAGTGGTGTTTATTTCACACAAAATAAGTTAATAATGAATTCAAATCACATGTAATTGTCATTTAATTGTCAAAATTAATAGTTAAAAACATAGCATTTATTTTACACACATTTTCAGTGCAAAAGTCAATTCAAAAAATTAAAGGCATTTTATGGTAAACAAACTACACGTGAGTTTCATCGCTAGCTATGAGCGACATCTTTGGGCTATTTTTGACTCATTTTAATCGCAAACTTTACATAACTTTCTTAAGTATCTATTGAGAGGTCTGTTAATTGATCCCACGCTGTGGTGGCGACTACTTCTTGTAGCCGTTGCTGTAGACGGTGTGTCCGCCCACCTCCACAAGTATTGGACCCCTTTTGCCGGTGAATCGGTTGCCATCCCTCTGGATGTTCACCCGAACCAAACCGTTCAACACGTTTAGGCCTAAATTGAGAGCCCGTTCCCCGAAGCCCAGGGGCTCCTTCTTGTTGTTCAAATCCATTTGAAAGAATGGCCTAAAATGGGACAACCATTTCTTAGATTCATTGTCTGGTAATGAGTGGACAGACACTTACCCGACATTGACTCCAACGCCAGTCTGTTTGCCCCCGAAATCACTCTTACCTGTATT